CCGGGGAGCTCGGAGGATGCACGGAACTGTCCGGGCCGCGGGGACCGTCCCGGAGGCCCGGCTGCGCCCGGCGGAGGGGAGCGGGTGCGGGAGCGCAGATGCTGGGCTGAAACAGCTGGGGCTTCCCGGCCCGCCGGGGCGGTTCTCCGCGCGATCCGCGTTTTCCGTTCAGATCAGACTCAGCCGGTCAGACCCCGCGGACTGCTGCTGGGAAAGGCAGATCGAGTCGCCTGGATGCTGGCTGGCTTGGATGGGTTCACTGCGCCCGTTCGCAAAAGTTTCCCGGCACACGGAGATCGGGAAACTTTTAGAGCGAGCCAGCCGGCAACTTCATGATTTATATAAAGCAGAGGGTGCTTGGTAGGCGGCTAGTTTTCAAAGGTTTTTGTGTTCTCTTAAGAGAAACAATTATATTTCTCTAACACGTTGCTTCTGCATGCCTTAAAGCAACATATGCATCACCCAATGGGATTTTGTGGGTTGGTTCAAGTTGGGCTTTTTTTTAATGTTCATTTTGTGGCTAAGGAACAGAAATGAGGTAACCTATTTAGGTACAATCAGTTGTGGCAGGCAGGTAGGTAGGTAGGTGGTCCCTAGGACATTAGTGCTGACTTCCCATTGGTAATAGAGACAAATACAGCTTCCAGGATCTGACTTGGGCTGCAAGACTTTTAGTGTCACCCTTCCTTGACATGCTTTGGCTCTGAAATGAACGATAATGACATCCCTCTTCTTTTTCTTTTTTCCTTCCAGGAAACTCATCTCACACTGTGGTGGGCACTGATGCCCAGATTAGACGACCACTTCTGGAGTTGTTCCAGCCCTGCCAGTGAGAGGCACAAAACCCACTCGAGAGCCAGCTCTGGAGGGCTGGCTGCAAAAGCGGAAGAGATGATCAGCCCCTCCGTTTCCCGCCCCTCTTTGCCAGTGGACCCCAGGGCCCCCAGTGTGAGTGCCCACAGCTGCAGCAGTAGCAGCAGCCACACTAACAGTTGGCATCACCATTTGGTGCAGAGGAGCCTGGTGCTGTTTTCAGTTGGAGTTGTACTAGCCCTGGTGCTCAACCTGCTACAGATCCAGAGGAATGTCACTCTTTTCCCCGAAGAAGTGATTGCCACAATCTTCTCTTCTGCCTGGTGGGTGCCTCCCTGTTGTGGGACGGCAGCTGGTAAGTAAACCATTCCTTGCTTTGTAGAAGTTAAGACCTGTCGGTGGTTTTCTTTGTTGTTCTGGATCTTTAAGAAAACTAAAAAATAACCAAACCCTCAAGAAACATTTACTCTACCATGGACTCATCTCCAAATTAAAACCCAGCAGCTTCCATTTTTATATTGAGGTAGAAAAGCAAGGGGTGTTGACAATCCCAACAGCCCACTGACCAGCCACAAACAACAGCTCTCAAAGTTCGAGGAAGTCCAGTGATGGAGATGAGGCCAGGAGATTAGGCCAAGGCTTGTGCCAGACAGTCAGATTTGGTCCCTCTTAGTATCTGGGCACACTCAGGACAACCTTGCCATGCCAGACAGTCAGATCTGGTCCCTCTTAGTATCTGGGCACACTCAGGACAACCTTGCCGGAAGCCCAGCAGCTGTCATCCAGAACTAACTGTCCTGTGATTGGTTGCCTGCAGAACTGGTGAGCCGCAGTACCACATTGCTATTGGCTGCCTGGATGAACATGCTACACTGCTGGGTAACTGAAAACAAATCCGTCACATGTGTTCAAGAGGTGGTTGCCAGGAGAGCAACTTCTCAGCACTTCCTTATGCAGAGAGCCAAGTGAACTGTGGCCAGAGCTAAGTTTTAGATTTGCTATCGTTCTATAGATTGAGTGCTTCAAGAAAAGAGTAAGCACCTGGTGAAGAGGTTAGATTGCAGTAGACCTTACCAGTCACACAAATAGGTAACATAACACTGGATAACTCTTACTTGTCCACAGGAGCTCTGGCTTTTCTTGAGTGGCATTCCTTGGCTACCACTTAGATAGTTTCTAAACCTGCTGAATTGCCCTTGGCTCAGCAGATTCCTTGATAACTTCCCTAGTCACACAGCATTGGCATATTTACCACCTGTTTTTTATAGGGTCAGCTCTAGGAGCTGGAAGTTGGAATACAAACGGGAATCCGATAAGCCCTTCTCTTTTATGTGACCCATAGTCTGGTCGGGGGAAAACATATATTAAATAACAACAATGTACTGTGACATATTTTCTTTGTAGCCACCACTTATTGATAGTTTGCTAGGTTTCATATGCTTTATTTCTTTTCATCTGTACAATAATCTTGTACTAGCACTCCATTTGACAAATGTGAACCTGTAGTTACTGAGAAGTTAAAGGAATTGAGTCCGAGGGTGCATAACTAGTAAGTGTCTGAACCACTTTTTAAACTTGGATTCCAGAACCCCTGTTGCTACCTGTGTAACTGGCTCTCAGCATTACAGGTGTGTATATTGCAGGGTGGACACAGCACAAACTCTCAGCCATTTAAACCAGTCAGAATTAGTCTTATGGTTGAGTACTATGTATATATACTAAAGGATTCAGTAATTATAATTTGACTTGAAGAGGTGTCAAAAAGGTTTTGGGGGACAAGAATTGAAAGATAATGGAATTGTTTCATGATTTCAAATGTCTTAATCTTTCTTGGGATTGGATTTAAGAAGTCATTTACACACTCACTTGGCACAGTAGTTCCCTCCTTTGAACCCAAAATGATCTCAACTGAAAATTGTTTTTATTTAGCCTTTAATGTTTGTACTTGAAGCTTCCCAGGAATGTCTGAAACATAATTTTTTATACCTACCCCCCACTTTTTTTAAACTATCAGAGCCAAGAACATAAGGAAAAATTGTTCCATAACAACACCTAGGTAGCTTTTAACCTGAAAAAGGTTCAGGATAAGTTTTAATGATGGAAAGTATAGAATGACCTAGGTTCCATTTTTCAAAACTCCAGATTTGGAGCTTGAGTCTATCTAGCATGAAACTGAAAACTGAACCTGGTTCTCGTGTTTGTTGTTTCTCTCTTAAGAACCAACATGGCTCCCTCCTCCCACCTCAGACAGGTGGGACGGTGCCTGGCTGAGGAGCCTCCATGCTTTGGATGCAATTCACTTGGCCAACCACAGGCCATTTCCATTCCATCTATATTCTCACTAGTCACCATATCCCATTTCTCTCATTCATTCAGATTGTTATTTTTATCGTTTCATTTCTCGTGGGTGCTTTACCTTCCCCCAAATGTATTCTATCATTCATGAAAATTCAGCAACTTCTTAATTATTCCAGACCACAAAAGTTTCTTATTTTGCTGCTTTCCAGTTACATAAACCTCAAATTTTTACACATGAGGAAACAGCCATAGGAAGCCACAACCCACTAGAGGGCCAATTGGTATCCAATGCCAAACCTTCTGCCTCTGGTCCAGTACTCTTGCCACAGTTGAGGGCTCAGGACATTGGAGCCGGTAGAGAATAATAGGTATATATGGTGGGCTGTCTCCAGCATTTCTCTGATGTACCCCTATCTTGGTACACAAGTGGGTGGCTTTGACAAACAGATTTCTTTTCTTACAGTTAGGAGGCTAGGTGTCCAAATTCAAGGCACCTACTCCAGGAGAAGTGTCTCTGTCCACCTGAGGGAAAAAGCCTTGTCTCACTTCACCTTCTCTCACAGCAGCCTGGCAGCTGTACCTGTAGATTGTTCTGCCTCCTTGGTCTCCCCCCACTCCCCCCACCCACCCACCCACCGGCTGCTTTATTCTGTGCCTCATCTGCTCTTGTAGCTCTCAAAGGTATTTGGCTTAAGATATATCATACACTGATGGGGCCTATTTAGCCTGACAAAGAAAAACCCTGCTTAAAAATGGGATTATAGCCAACACGTTTTTAGGTGGTAAGATTTTTAACACATATTGGGGGTTAAAATTCAATCCATGCAGTCTAATAGACCTAGGATTAACTCCAGGGTTGTCTGCACAGCTGGTGCCTAAGGTCTCCCAGACGAAATGCCTGCTTTATGTTCCTTGAGAAGTCAGTCCAGTCCCACCCAGTGGGCATGTGAAAGGAGCGTCCTTTCTCACCCAGTCCATCAGCTTCCAGTCCGCACAGATGTGGGTGTGATTTGTCCAGCTGAAGTGCTGGGTGCTGTGAGGAATGTAAGAACTTGCCATATGACTTGTGTCCTGAGGGTATTCATGGAAGTGTGGGGTACCACGCGGTTGTATAATTGAGGGATAAAATTAAACGGACATCAGACAAGGTAAAACTTGCAATTGCTCACCTCCCGCACGGCCATGATCTCAGCAGCCAGATCCGCGCAGAGAGACAATATATTTCCAATCCAGGCTTACATACACTCAGGGGATGTGCAAGCTCCCCTAATTAAAGGTAAACATGCATAACAAGAAGGGGTTGTACTAGGCATACATGCGACAGGAAGGGGGCGAGCTACGGGTATACAAGCAACAGGAAGGGGAAGTAGTAGGCATACATGTGACAGGAAGGCTTACGCGTAAAAAGATGAACAGACTAGAGCAGTGGTTCAAAACCTTCCTAATGCCGAGACTCTTTAATACAGTTCCTCATGTGGTTGGTGACCCCCAACCATAAAATTTATTTTCCTTGCAACTTCGTAACTAATTTTGCCACTGCTATGAATTGTCATGTAAGTATCTGATATGCAGGATATATTTTCATTGTTACAAATTGAACATAATTCAAGCATAGTGATTAATCACAAAAACAATATGTAATTATATATTGTGAAATATTTATTTCTAATGACAAAAAAGTGAAATTTTGTCTTGAAGCATGGTGTAGCGCAGGTAATAGTCTTCATGCTGGGTACTTGTATGTGGGCGTATCTGCATGTGGACAGACCCACCTGGAGACGGATAGAGGAGCTGTGTCTCAGTTCCTAAGACCATCAGAAATATGTGTTTTCCGATGGTCTTAGGTGACCCCTGGGGAAGGGTTGTTCGACACCCCCACAGGGATCGAGATCCACAAGTTGAGAACCACTGCTGTAGAGTCGAGAGGGCAGCCTAACCTTGGCCTTCCTTGAGTTGGCTTGACCTTAGTTTTGGGGCTCTCCTTCAGGGGAACAATTCATTATCTTTATCAGAAGGAGTGAGCCCTATTAAGGGTGGGACAGACTATATGGTCTGATTGCTCTAGATGGCTGGTAACCCTCAGGGAGATAACCTTTAAGCAGTTGACCTCCAAGTGTATAGCCCTTAACCATGGTTAGCAAGCAGCACCTTAGGTTTGGCTTATAATATGGGGAGACAACCTGGGGAGTAACCTTTCTGTAGCCTACAATGGAAGCTTACCTTTTCATTTCAAAATGGAAATAACAATAAAAATAGGTTAATTATATGGGCATCTCAGGGTTTTGTTCCCTAGGCATATCTGGATCATGACTTCTGCTTGATTAATCTGTTTACTAGGACAGGTATAACTAGACCAAGCATCAGTGCTGTTCATTAAACTTCTAAACATGTGTAACTCAGAGAATAAGAATATCAAAGGTGTCTTCATTTCTGTATGATACATTTCCAGTAAAAGGAGTTGTTGGAGTCCTTTATTCGGTACTAGTTGCCCTGGAGAGAAGCCCTGGTGATGTAGCATTTACACAGTAGGCTGTGATCTGCATGTCAGCCATTTGAAACCACCAGCAGCTCCTCGGGACAAAGACTGGGCTGTCGACTCCTGGAAACAGTTACCGTCTCAGAAACCCACGGAGGGTCTAAGTCAGCATGAACTCGATGACAGTGCGTGAAGTGCCCTGGAGTTGGTCCAGCTCATGACAAACCCTTGATTGTTGGTCCGTTTAAGTCCATCATGGTGAATATTGTGCCAGTTTATCTCGTGTCCATTCGTTGAGGGTCACCCTATGTTTTTGTTGGCCCTCTACTTTAATGAGCATATGTCTTTTTCTAGTGCTTGGTCTTCCTGGGCGATGTGTCCAAAGTAAGTGAATCAGAGTTCTGCTAGTCTCCTTCCTCAGGAGCAATCAGAGGATTACATTTTGTCTAGGATTGCTTTGTTTGTTTCATTAGCAGTTCATACATTAATAACCATATAGAAATAATTTCATGTTAAGCTGGTGTGTTTTAATACTGTTTTCTTTTTTCAACAGCTGTTGTGGGCTTACTGTACCCCTGCATTGACAGTCATCTTGGAGAACCTCACAAGTTTAAGAGAGAGTGGGCCAGTGTGATGCGCTGTATTGCAGTTTTTGTTGGCATCAACCATGCAAGTGCTGTATCCTTTGGTGTATTACATACAGAAGATTTTTGTTAGATTATATATTGAAGTACTTTATTTTAAAGCATATCACTTGGTTTGCGCCTAAAATTTTTTTACGTGGGGTTCCTAGCACCTTTCCAGTTCATTTCTGGGAACGGTTAATAATAGCAGAAGGAGAAAGAACATATTTGCTCTTTCCTTTCTCAGGCAATAGGCTTTGGTTCTTAGAGGTTTGTCTTGTAAATTGACTTCGATCCTCTCAAGGTGAGCACTAAGAAGCTCCTATGGAGCTGAGAAGAGCATTACTGTGCTTGTAGTAACGCCCCTGTGGAAGACAGCGTGAAGCCGGTCTGCTTTTCTGCCCAGTTTCTGGCTCCGACTACACAGTCCAAGGGCCCATCAAAAATAGTTATCCTGTAGAGTCAGGGTTCCTAAACAGAAGACTCCCTAACTTCTAGTGTCCATGAATTCTATTTATGGACACCAGAAGTTAGGAAACCCTTAAAGAATATTTTGTGTCTCTGTCTAGAAGTGCTTTTCCCCCCCAGGAAGGTGGTCCATGATTTCCCAAGTCTTGAGATGAAGGGTTTCCATCGAGCAAATGGGTTGTGTTTTTAAATATTGGAGAGCTATGTTTTTAGAGGTATAAGTCCTTCCATCTGCTTTACTCCTGTTTGAATGAGAATGTCAAAAGGGCTGGAAGAGATACCTTGTTTTCCGTAGTGATCAAGTCATTTCTGGCTCCGGGTGACTGTATGGGCAACAGAGTGAGACATTGCCCCATCTTAGGTCATCTCCACTGTCACCAGTATGTTCTAGTCCACTGTTAACAGCTAGTGTGCCAGCCCCTCGCTGCTCCTGTGCTTCACCTAACACGATGGCCCTCTGTGCGATTGATCCCGCCTGTTGATAGGTCGAAAGCAAGCAAGCTGGACAGTGTTCTTCTGCAATCCATGAGTGTACTTTGAGGGATTTTTGAAAGTGCATTGCCAGGCCTGCCCTTTTTAGTGTCCTGAGTCTGGAAGTCCTGCTGCTATTTGAAGAACTGGCAGCATAGCTTTCAGCATCACAACAACACGTAAGCCACCGTGGTACAGCAGACAGGCAGTTGAAAGGAAGATAAGCTATGGTAACCCTGGCTAAACTTGCTTTGTCACCTGAGGACAAATAGGGTTATGAAAGCCTGCGGTTGTCTTAATGGACTTGCATCCTTTCGGACTAGGTGTCCTGATGCAGCCGTGAAGACAGTATTGCTCACTTCAAATTATGAGTAAAATAAGAATGGGATTACAGATGACTTCATAACAAAATGACTTGGGTTTGATATACAGTAGAGCTTCTTATCTAGCTTTCAGAAAATGTTCCTTTTAGAAGTTTATTACTCAGTGATCCCAGAGGAATTCCCGTATTACAAATCATGACAGTAACTTTATATCCACATCCTTCTCTTTTTTTTATGAACAGGAAATTTTTTCGTCGGAACAAGCTTACACATTGACACTTCTAGCTTAACTAGAACAAATCTGTCCAAATCCAAATATGTAACGGTGACTGGTAAATCGAATATTGTAGTAGTGTTCCATCAAACATTAAGTCCTCGTTCTATTTTAAGACCATTTGAAAGCAGAAATCCAGTTCTTGAAATTGAAGATTCAAACGTTTCATCTATAGCTAAGAATAATTTGCTATGGGGTCAAAAATATACAATGTTTACCACCCACTTTTAGTGGGCAATTTATAAACCACAGATCTAACATTCTAACTATTAATCCCTAAGACCTTTTTCTAACTCACTATTTCTTGGTGGTTTTTTTTTCATTTGCTTTGTTTTGTTTTTGTCATTAGGCAATTTTTATGAATAGTGAATTATTTGGTACTCGGTAATAAACACTTGTGTCTTTTATTTTTTGTTTTTGATCTTACTAAACCTCATAAAACTTTTCCTTAACCTTTGTTTCTCCAGAAATTGGATTTTGCCAATAATGTTCAGCTGTCCTTGACTTTAGCAGCCCTGTCTTTGGGCCTTTGGTGGACATTCGATCGCTCAAGAAGTGGTCTTGGGCTTGGAATTACTGTAGCCTTCCTTGCTACTCTGATCACCCAGTTTCTCGTATATAATGGGGTTTATCAGTAAGTTGTTGTTTTCTATCTACCTCATAGCATTGTTACTTTTACTAAAAATAAATTCCATTCAGTTTAGGATATGCTTTTACATTTTGTCCACCTTTTATAAAATACATCACATTCATGTATTCCCACTGCCAGCAAGTCAATTCCGACTCTTATTAATTAAGATAAATTCTCATCATGCTGGGTGAGAATAATGTGCTAGTTATTCTTAATGGAGGTGTTACAAATGTACTGTCCATAATTAATGTAGAAAAGTACCAAATCATAGTAGTGAAACACATTCAGATATTAACATTTTATAATATTTTATTACTAAATTATAGTCTACATTCTCCCCATTAAAGAAAATCTGTAACCCCCAAATTGGCCCAAACATATGAAATTATCTGTTAAGGGACAAAAAATAATATTTTAATATAAATTATTGTTATTTTTATTGTTCTAGGTATACATCCCCAGATTTTCTCTATATTCGTTCTTGGCTCCCATGCATATTTTTCTCAGGAGGCGTGACAGTAGGAAATATAGGACGACAGCTAGCTATGGTAAGTAAAATTGTATTGCCTCTTAAAGCCCTGGGGCTTTGCTTTAGAGATAGAATTGCTCTGCCTAGAAAACCAAGGCCATTGCCACTGAGTCTATTCCAAATCTTAGCAGCTCTATGGCACAGAGTGCAATTGCCCCACAGGGTTTCTAAGGCTGTACTCTGTATAAAAGCACAGTGCCACGTGCTTTATCCGAAAGGTGACTAGTAGGTTCAAATTGCTGAGCTTTCAATTAGCAGCCACTAGGGCTGTCTAACAGGAGCCACGGTGGCATGGTGGTTATGCATTGGGCTGCGATCCACAAAGCCAGCAGTCAAAACCAGCAGCCAAGACGAAGACAGGGCTTTCTACTCCTCGAAACAGTTACAGTCTCAGAAACCCACAAGGGGTCACTATGGGTCAGCATTGACTCGAGGCAGTGAGTTTTATTTTGTTTTAAAGAGTTACTGACTGAAACTCCCAGGGGCAGTTCTCCCCTGTCCTATAGGGTCTCTATGAGTCAGCAATGATTCATTAACAGAACAGGAGTCCTGAAGGCATAGTTGTTAGGTATTAGGCTGCCAGCTGCAAGGTCAACAGTTCAAAACCACCGGTCTCTGGGAAAAAGAGGAGGCTTTCTATTCCCGTAAAGAGTTACAATCTCGGAAACTCACAGGGTCAGTTCTACCCTGTCCTATAGAGTTGCTACGAGTCAGCACCAACTCTATAGCAGTGAATTTGGTCTTGAGTTTTGAGGGCTCCTTTGTTTTATACACAACGTACTATAATTTATCTTGATAGATGTGCATAGTAGCAACACTTTTTGAGAAAAGTGTACATGGAAAAAAATTCGTAATGATACCAGGTAATTCTTTACTCAATTTTAAAGATGCAGAAAGTTGTAAACTTAGTGGAGCCAGAAAGGAATGAGAATTCCAGGGCAACCCCTTTATTTGACAGATTCATTAAATGGCTCTTCTGAATTCACATAACTACCCTAAGAACAATAGAAGTTACTGAAATGGCTAAGGTGAATGACTGGGAGATGAGTCACACCCCACCCACACCCCTACTTCAGTATCAGAAGCAAATCTGGATGATTTAGTACATTGACACTTTAGTCCCTGAGATTCTGTAAAACAATGTTTATTTAACCCAAAGTGGGTTTGTGTAATGCTAAGGACAATATTAATCTATTGAGCTGGATGTCAGCCCGAGGCTGCAGACACCTGTCTCTGCGCATGGCTTATTGGGAAGACAGACCAGGGCACAAAAAGCACAAGCATTTCAGCGCACAGTGACCCTGGACACACAGACACAAGGAGACAAGCCATTAGGGGCATGGACATCTGTGGCCTCCATCACCTGTGAGGTGGACAGGTAGATGTCCTCTCACATCTGAGCACTTTCACTTGTTCTTACTGCAGAAGGGAGTGGTGGTACCCTGACAGAAACGGGACTGACATTCATTCAAGGTGGATTTTACGATTCCAACCCACAGTGACCCCATGTGACCGAATGGAACTCCTTCAGCATGGTCTCCTGCCTGTCAGGGTTCCGGGAGCGGAGGGTCCCATGGAGCACTCAAGGGTTCCAAGCTGCGGCCTTTCGCTTTGCAGCAGAGCTCGTGACTGTGCACCGCCGGGCTCCTTTAAACAAGGAGAGCCCGATACTGGGGAGTCCCCTCACCTATGCTCATTTCTCTCTTCCTCCTTCCAGCGGAGGGAGAACTGATCTTGACACTGGAGGAGAGAATCCAAGTAAACACCTTCTCGCACCCCTTGGCCCCACCCGGAGCTTAACTGCACCAACCATATTTTCCATCCAGGAAAATTTAAATCTTTACCCATGGAGCCCCAACTAAAGGGGAAATTAGCAGACTTATCAAAAATCTGAAGCATGGGGCAATTTAAGGAGGTACTCCCTAACCAGGTGGGTCACCCTAACCAGTAAGTTACAGTTCTGCCTCACATAGCAAGCCCTTCGCATTAACAACACTGTCATTTTCTTGGGAGCAAAACTTTGGAGTTCCATTGTGGACAACACTGAGATGGGGGGTGGGGGGTGAGCCATTGAGTTCGCCCAATCCCAGACCTCCCTTCCCCAGAGCACTCTCACCATCAAGTCAATCCCGAGGCATGGTGCCCCACAGGACAGAGTAGAACTGCCCCATGGGGCATTCCAAGGCTGGGGTGTGTGTGTGTGT